CAAAGGCAGCATTCAATAACTCTGCCTTCTCTGTATCCTTTGTCACCAGGGCACCCGCCCCTTTCAGCAGCGGGCCCACGTTTTCCCTAGTCTTCCTCTTGCTATTGATGTATTTGAAGAAGGCCTTCTTGTTGTCCTTGACATCCCTTGCCAGATTTAATTCCAACTGGGCCTTAGCCTTCCTTGTCGCATCCCTGCACGCTCTGACAACGTCCCTGTATTCCTCCCAAGTGGCCTGTCCCCTTTTCCACATTCTGTACACTTCCTTCTTCTGCTGGAGTTTTGCCAGGAGTTCCTTGCTCATCCATGCAGGTCTCCTGCCCGCTTTGTTCGACTTCTTCCTCAGAGGGATGCACCGATCTTGAGCCTGGAGGAAGTGATGCTTGAATATTAACCAGCTTTCTTGGACCCCTCTTCCTTCTAGGGCCCTACCCCATGAGATTCCCCTAAGTAGGTCCCTGAAGAGGCCAAAGTCAGCTCTCCTGAAGTCCAGCGTATGGATATGGATACAGTTGCCCTTTCTCCCCCTTAGGTACATGCGTATACACACACACACACACACATTCACACTGCATAGAGACTATCTCGTGGATGCAGCCTCCTTTCCAGCTGGCAGTACTCGTAAACAAAGGTGTAGGGATGATCTCATTATAAAAGACATGAGTTGCTCAGGGAAGCAGAATCTCAGAAGGACAACTAATTGTTATCCCCACTCACTAGTCCTATGCCTTATACATATTAGAGGAGAGCCTGGCAGATTGGAGCTGACGGAGCTCTGAATTTGTGTCTACTTCTGTTCTTTCCTCCCCAAAGGTGGCTGCTTGGATCAATGAGAAGAATAGTATTGCCCAGGATGACAGCTGGAAGGATCCAAGCAACCTGCAGACCAAACTGCAGAAGCACCAGACTTTCCAAGCAGAGATCATGGCCAATCGAAATCGCCTGGACTCCATCAGATCTGTGAGAGAAGCTGGGTTAATGGCAGGGCTTGGCAACTGGCATCAAAGATTGGAGTCAGTAGTCTGAGTCACAAAGATCTCAGACAAGCAAGAGAGATCACTGTCCCCCTTGCTGACGTTGTTCCCTTTATTTACCTCTGAGGGGGTTTGAAAGCTTACTTCTTTAATCCATCAAGAACTTTCTGTGCCTTGGATAAAAGGCATGGGATTCTTTCAGCTTATCTCTTGGGGTGCAATCTTGCTGTCTATAATTCATTGTATGTGCAATGGAAAAAGATGGTTGCTTCCAATGAATGATTCATTCCACTAATTTTAGACACTTCTCTTTGGGGTGAATCACTTTGGAGGTATACCTGTTTCTTTCCAACAACGAACCAAGGTGACTGGATGCACCGTTTCAACAAGTCAGATAAGATGTATCCTACAAAAGGTGTAAAGATGAGTTTTCAAGTGTTGCCTTTGCAGAGACATGCTAATAGGAGAAATATGAGGGAAATCTGACAAGCTTTGTCAGATACTTGGCAGAAACTGTGATCAGATGATGAATTTGGAAGGACAGACTGTTACATATTTCTTAAACTTATTCTCAGCGCAATGCTTACTATCTGTATTTTGCAATAGGTAACTAAGCATTAGGGATAGAGCTCCTCCTCAGATTTACCTGCTTCCAGCAATGTAGAAGCCATTGTTTTTAGACACAGTGCAGACACAACAGGACAATTAAGGGTGGAGTTACAACTCTCTCCGTACTAACATGTTTTTAAAGAGTTGTTTGCACAACCTCATTATTTCTTTCTGCCTTGTCTTTGTCCTTGGGAATGTCCTTGGGAATTGATTTTTAGAAGAAAATTAACATCTGCTATACCGGTTTAGCATTCTTCTCTTGCTGAGCCTCCTCTCCCTCCTTTCATAATATAGAAATAGCTCAGCGTAGCCTTCTAAAGCAAACTTAGTCTCAGCTTAAGGATCCTCTGCCTGATGGAGGACTCTCTTGCTGTTCTTTCTCTACCACTTTTTCAGCTAGCCTGTAAAGCATCTGCAGGCTATGGATTAGAAATGTAGATAGGCTTTTTCTATGTTGTTCAGTGGTATAAAGATATGATATGGTAAAACTTCTTCTAACGTGCCAGGAAGGGAGTAGAAAAGGACCAGCCAGCCGAACTCAAATAGTGATCACAGAATACAGGACATATCATAGAAACAACATAGTGCTTGCAAACTAGACTCACTGCTAGTCTTTAGGTGATGTAGCTATTGCAAAATGAAGATTCTCTTTCGCCTTTAAATGTCCTCTGACATTGGCTTTGTAACATTTCAAATAGCTTTAGAGGCCAGAAATACAGGAAAATCAGTCTCTGCCATAGTTGCAATAAGCGTTTTGCCTTTATCCATTGTCCTTTGTCTGTGCAGCCTCCTTATGTTATGTCAGGAAGTAATGGCTGCAGCTGGCCCTTTGCCTAGCAGTGCCGATAGAATTTGTTATTGAGGCAAACATGTGATATATTATCATATATTCAGCAAAGGAAGAGAGCTTTGACAATTCTCTTTGCTGTAGGAAGGGGAGAAGATGCTCCGTGAGAGGCACTATGCCCCTGAGGCCATTCGGTCCAGATTGCAAGAAATGGAAGAGCTATGGGATGAACTGCTAGCAAGCTGCCAGGATAAACAGGCCAAGCTGCAAGATGCATACAAGGTAATACAGAGATGCCAGTGGTTGCGACATGGTGTCATTTCCAGAGATGTCAGGGCTGCCTTGATGCACAGTCTCATCTGCTAGTGTGTTATTTGATACAGTCAGTCGTGATTCCTCAAGACCATTAGAGCAAAGAAACTACTAAGCATGGACTGGTTGAATGGAGCTAGGGGGAGAAGTGGGAAGGAAAATGATTTGTAGGCTGTGTTCCCTTGCACTTTCTGCTGCTGGTTTGCAGTTAGAGTTCCAGAGAGGGATACTGAGGGGAAATATGTTCACTCACTGTATCTGTCAACTCTCTGGATCTGTCCCAGTGGCATCTTTTCTCTGACACAAATGAGAAAAGCCCACAGCTGCTTTCCATTCTTGTAGCTCTTCCCAGTCACATGACTTTCCTCCTTGTGAGCTTTACATGAGCAAGCAGACGCCCTGTAGGTATAAAACAAAGCTCCTCCTTTAAAATGGCCTCATTTCTAAAAATTGTGTCCATCAGTAGTATTTATGCAATCTAAGTAAGATTTGCTCATGATATTCTCTGCATCCATTCTTGTGTTTGCTCTGGCTGAATTCTCTTCTTCATTTGTACCACCATCTCACCTGGGGAGAGGTCACTGAGCACTGGAAAGTTTCCCTGCACTGTGTGTGTAATCCTTCTTGAAGGTGGCTGAGATTTTATATTATATTATATATCCTAAAGGTTTAATTGACCTTCCTTCCTGCTTGTCCCCAGGCCCTTCATTTCCAGCGGAGTGTAGAGGACATGGAGAAATGGCTGGAAGATGTAGAAAATGAGCTGAAAGCACCATATAGTAGCAACGATCTGGTGGTTTTGAACAGTCATCTGAAGAAACAAGAGGAACTGGAGGAAGATATTGCTGGCCATAGGGACCGGCTGCAGGAGCTTGTGACTACAGCTCAGGAATTCCAGCAGGAGAAGCATTTCCTTGCTGATGAGCTTGAAGACAGAGTAGATCAGCTGGTGCAGAGGTGTGTGAGTGCCTGGCCTGTCTCCTGCTGTTTTTATCCTATCTTTCTCAGCCTTTTTATTCCCTACATCCTCTTTTATTTCTTTTCCACATCGTTTTGAAAAGACCATTTTGTATTAATTCACTACCACTCTGTTGTCCTCATTGGGTTCCTTTTAAAATCTTCAGATACAAAAGTCTACGTGATCCACTGCAGGAGAGACGTGGGAGTTTGGAGGCAAGCAGACTTCAGTACCAGTTCTTCCGAGATGTTGATGAGGAGTTGGCCTGGGTTCGTGAGAAGCTCCCAATGGCTTCCTCCAGAGATTATGGCCAATCCCTAGCAACCGTTCAGAGTCTACAAGAAAAGCACCAGGTAATGTAATGTGAAAACCATTCTCAGTCTCTAGAGTCAAAGAGAGAACGTGGCATTCACCCGGCTGGCAAACCTCATCTGCTGTGCTTTGGCTAACAGGAGTCATGGTGCCAGGAGTAACTCTTATTCTGGTCTGATATTAATGACATTTTTTATAGGATGTGTCCATGACTGGGCAACACCTGGGACTCCATGCTGCTTATCCCTGCAATGCTCTAAGTAGCACACCATATGCTTTTCTGTGGATACGTTAGCTCTTTCTGCAGCTGAGTTTCAAATCCTAGAGTCTGCAATATGAAATAGTTTTTACAAGCTGTTGCGCATGCTGACATAGCTTATTTGGCTGGCAGCAGATGTCCTAATAAAATGTTCTTTCAAGCTCGTTAACTGCATCCAAGCACACTCATTGCTCAGATGTCTCAGGATGAGCTCCCAGAGAAATACCTCTTCCTGCTCTGGAGGGAGGGAGTTAACAGGGTATTATGATCTTGAGCCGACCTTCATGCTAGCAACAGCTTTCAAGATAGCTGCTGAGTTATTTCACAAAGTTCAGATGAGCCATCAGAGATAGTAGTGCCTGGAACACTGTCACCTCAAATGCCAACAAAGCAGCAGCTGCCTTTCTAATTGTTTTTGAGTAAAAAGTGCTGTCCCTTTGTCCCACACATGAGGTGGAAAAAAAAAAATTCTGCTAAAAATTTCCAGATGCTCTTGGTATTTAGTGTTAGCAAAGGGCAGCTCATTTAAGTGGGACATCAAATGCCTCTGGGGAAAATCTGTGCAATCTGCAATAGGGTTGAGAGAGACAGAAGATTTTATAAGGTGAAAATATGTATGTACATATACATATATTAGGCATAGACATTTGGCACAATCTGATACATGTCCAGAAATAAAAATCTGGGCTCATAAAGAATTCTGAAAGTCCTCAGGGCAAAAAGTCAAGGCTGGTATAGGTCATATACTAGGACAGGGATGAAGTTTCTGAAAAAGTAGGAGTTTTATCCTAGGTGTGCTTACAACTTAATGAAAAATGATAAAATGGTTTTAAATGCATCCCCCAGAATAGTCCTGAGCAAGACCCATGGGAATATCATGAATAGTTAGCACTTTCTTAGTATTTGATGTAATTTCTCATATTTGTAAATATTCTGAATTTAAGTAGGTGCAGCTGGTGACTTTGAGATTAGGTAGTAAGAACAAAAGGTTTGTTTCATCATCACTGAATGTATGAACGTTATTATGTATGTAATTACTCCTAAAATATGAGCTGATTGACATGGTAAGGAAGGAGTTTAGACTGAGGGAAAGAAGGAATGATTGAGCTGGATTTATCTGAGAAAGTATTTGGGATAACTGAGAGAACTGTGGATATACTGCTTTAGGCTGCAATGATCTTAGTGTTAATTGGCCAGATTTCGAAATATTTCAATAATCCGTGAAAATGGGGGAAATAGGCTCTGATACTAGTGCCGAATAAAAGACCAATTCTTCCTTGCCACTGTGCTTCTTATTCTTCTAGAAACAGGATTAAAATATAAAATTTGAATTCTAAATCTTTCAGTAGCTAGAGTCTCTACACTTTTTTTTTTTTTTAACTTTGGCTTAAAGGGAAACTTGTCAGAGGTAAGCTATCACTATATAGTTCAATATAGTGTTAGCTCCACCCTCTATGGTTTGTCTTAATTATCCAGATTTGTAAAATTCAGCCCTTATTTTGTTACCTCAAAAGTAGTCATGCATGAAATGTATCAACCTTAAAAAATTACTGTGTCTGGCAAAAATGTTCTCATGTGCAAATATAACAAGTATTAGCACAGCTGCTTGGTTTGGAAGCACAGTGTTTCCCCTTCCGTGCTTTTTTTTTTTTTTTTTTTTTTTTAATCCTTTGGATATAAATGAAGAACTGTGAAAATAAGTTCCTAGTTTCTGAATGCTCAACTGCAAAGTTTTCTTCACATCGCTGGCTTATTATTAATGCACAGGACAAGATGTTTTATAATCTTTGCCACTGGATTCTGTTCTCCTGGGGTCAGACATGGTGTCACTTTTCAACAACATAGTGGCTGTCCTGAAATTAATAGGGGGAAGTTAAAGGCAAGATTAGAATTAGAGCGCCCCTCTTTTGTAGCCAAGTGATCTGATAGTTGAGTTGAAAGAATAGCTGCTGTCCCCAGAGGGCACCTTTTCTACATAACATAGCACTGCAACCTAACTCTGAAACTGCCTGTTTTGTAGCTCTGAAAGTGAATAGACAGAACAGTTGTAAAATGCTGGGGCTTGCTTTGTGCATGAGGTGCTCAGACTTAGTTAAATGTAGAATGAGCCATGTCGAAGACCTGGTCCTTGCTCACCCTGGCAAAGATCACCCAAGGGAGTGTGTGGAGGTATGCATATGATTTAGCAAATCTATGAGGCTTCAAACATTAGTTTCAAAGAAAGTCTTTGAGAGCTGGTTCAGGTCGTTTACTTCTTCTGCTCTTGTCCTCTGGGCTGCCTGTTAGTATGTGTTCCCACAATGTTTACAATGGTTATTATGCAAAGCTGCATCTCCTAGAATGGTGCTAGGAAAGCGTAAATACTGGTTAGCAGGTGAATTGATTGGCCTTCCTTAGAAACATTTTAATTCAAGAAGCATGGTGAAACGTGAATGGAAGTGGGTATGTTTCAGTGTTATCTACTAATAAGAGACTTGTGGTTAGAACCTCTTCCCTCTGCACTCTGAGGAGGGTACCCAGCAGGGTGCAAACTTTCTGGCTAGATGTGATTTCTGTTAATGCTCCTTCACCAAAACACCCTCCACTCTCCTTTGAGTATTCACTCAGACTTTGCACTTCTGACCCATCTTTGCATGTAGCAAACAGATTTTTAATGGAATTACAGAACTACCTGGTAGAAAAATCTCCATGGCTTTATTTTTTTTTTTGGTTTGTTTTTTTACTCTTTCCAGATTTTGGAGAATGAGATAAATAGTCGGGATGCTTTGACCAAAGTGGTGCTCAGTACAGGACAGAAACTGGTAAGGGGAGGCCACTCAGCCTCCCGCAAGATTATGGAGCATCTGAAGGAGCTGGAGACATCTGTAGAAAACTTGAAGGCAGAGGCTCAGGGGAGGAGACAGAGGCTCGCGCAATCCTATGAGGCTCATCAGTACCTTACTGAGGTAAGGATGATTCATGAAAAATTTTCATTTGATCTTTATTTGCTTAAAGGACCAGATACCTATATTGGTGAGTGACTGCAAATCTTGAGATAGGAGCAAAATTAATACTGTTCTGCCTTTTCATATCTGGTAAACATGGACACAGCGGAGAAATGAGTTATTTTCCGTAGGAACTGCAGTGAGGGATAAACATGTAACCATGACAACTGGGATTAGTAGTTTTTGGAATAACATCTTCTAGATTGTATTACAGATAGGCACTTAAGATGCTCTCTGTTCTCACTGGTGTTTCTCTCTGGGCATCACTGCTTTCCAGTTTTCTTTGTTGTGACTGAAATAACAGCTGTGTTCATGCTCATCACCATTTTTCATACAGCTACTGGAGGTAGAGGCCTGGCTGGCAGAGAGAGGCTTCATCCTGGAGACCTCTGATTATGGGAAGAATGAAGAATCCACCCAGGCTTTACTTCGTAAACTTGAAGCCACCAAGCTGGACATGGAGGGTTTCAGGCCCCGGATTGAGAAAGTACAGGAGACAGGCACCAGCTTAATAAACAAAGACAACCCGGAGAGGTAGGAAAGTGAAAACAGGCTTCTGTGTCAGATCTAACAGAAATGCCCAAGGAAGGCAGATATTGAAAAGTTCAGCCTTGAGTAGCTGTTTGGTGTCTCATTCAGAAATATGACTTCAGGGGACATCAATCCCTCCTTCACCGCCATCACACACTCCAACCCTCCCCCCGCCCAAAAAACAATTAAAAAAATGTGGTGATTGTTCTGTTCTCTTCATGACTGCTGTTTTTCAGCAATAGGCCGGATACTGCAGATCAGTTTCTTTGTTTACTATCTATTCCCAGGAACTGTCATCCAGTTGTCACTTAATATAAAGGTTCAGAAAGCACCATGCTTGGGAGAGGAAACTGATATTCTTGACATTTCATTGCTTTTCATTGTCAATTGCTTTTATATCTGGGAAGAATGAGATGAAAAGAGCAGCCATTCATGCAAGATGCTTTAATTTCCTGAACTAGCTCATTTTCATGTCCTGGCATAACTCATCCCATGATGATATCTAGTCTTGTCTGTATTTTGAAGGTGTTGCATATTCAACCTGTCAGAAAAGACAGTGTTCAAAAATACAAAGACATACTTCTGATTTTTGTTCTTTGCAGCTCCGCCATACTTTCGAAGCTCCAAGGGATCCTAGCAGACTATCAGTCTCTCCTACAGAAGGCTGAGACCCAGAGAAAGTGTCTGCAAGAACAATTCCAGCTGTATCAGTTTGAAAGAGAATTCCAGCTGGTGAAAGCCTGGCTTTCCAGTAAGCAGTCTGTGGCAGAGTCTGATGACTATGGGCAGGACTTGGATGATGTTGAGGTAAAAGAAAAGAAAAGAAAAGGTGGTATGTGGCAAAGCAGGCATGTCTTTACTATTTTTTTTTGTGTAGCTGGTGACAGTGAAGCATGTTACAGTGACACAAACTGAGCAGGCACTGAGACTGGCTTCTGCCTGCTTGTGCAGGGGTCTCTGAGGTAGCGTCCTTCAATGGAAAAAGCAGGTGCACCTGAAAGTTGTCTTTTTCTGGGGATAAGGTGAGGTCACCACACTTCACTGATGGCCCTAATTATTAACTTATCAGGACCTAATCATTTGGCCACAGCCTTACAACACTGTCAGTGGAAAACACTGAGATGGACCATTCACCAGGAGCTGAAGAGCTGCAGATTTCAATTTCTCTTCAGAGTACATTGTACACTTCATAGTGTCCTCTCCTCAAAACAGTGAGCCAACGTTTTCAACAGCTATTACACATGTGGACAAGCTAATGTTTTGGCAATGTCTCCATCTGTCAGGATGTAGGTGATTTTTTTCTCTGTGGCGTAAGATGTTGAGTGATCATAACAATAGATGTTTTCTTCTAACTCTAGACCATTTCAGTTTTTCAAGTGATTTGTGTTTATGTAAGTCTGTACTACATAGCTTTTGTGTTCTACAGTAGGGAAAAAGTGATTCCTTTTACCTCTTTAATAGAGGTAGGCAGGAATTCTTTTGTCTAAGTCCGCATCCCCTTCTTTATCCTGTAGGTGTTGGAGAAAAAA